CTACCCGGATATAATCCAGAGGGAGGAGCCAAGCATTCCCCTATTAAATTTCCCTATTAAAGAACTGTTATTTCCTGCTCCCATCTTTTTGCCTGAGAACCCCTAATTTAAAATTTATAGCAATTTGGAGGGGTGGGGAGGGTTTACATTCTCCATTTCAGGGGAGGCTTCTGCCTTCCTTAGCAGACTCCTGTCTTTCCAAACCAAGACAGCCTGTCATATTTTCTGGAAAAATCCCTTTGCCAGGATTTCTCTCCTGGGAAGCTGAGAAGCCTCAGAGAGAAAGGAAAACAATATGATCTCATTTGCTTCTCCTGTGTTGTGCTGCTTTAGAAAGTGGTTTGAAGATTGTTTATCCAACAGGTGGTTGTTTCATTGGTTTCATGTTAATTGTTTTTACTTATTAGTCAATCACAGCCAAGCTATGTTGATGATCTGGAAAGAGTCATGAGTTTTTTATTATTATCTTTTAACCTTCTATCAGTATCCTTTCTGTATTCTTTAACATTCTCTAGTATAGTTTAGTATTCTTAATATAATAATAATTTTTAATATAGGTCTGCTGACATTTGCTTTCTGGAGAAGAAAACCCCTGGTACGTCACAGCCCTCAGCTTGTGCCTTGGGTTACAGCAACCTGAAAAGCCTCAAATCCCCAGGGATGAAAACAGGGAAAGCAAAAATTGCCTTCCCCATCCTATTAAAAAGCTGTCACTGGGAAGAATCCTTATCACACTCAGTGCTGGGACTCCTCTATTGCTCCCCTGCTTAAAATAATTGATTTAACAAAAAATAGCAGAGACAATCTCCCATTTAGTCTCTCTCTCTGGGATTTTGGAACCCTGGGAACAGACAGTGGGCTGTAACGTGTCCCCCAGCACAGGGCCACAAATGTCTTCACTATTTCAGCCCAGTGCCAAGACTAGGGATATTAAAATTAAACACAAGTTTAGGATTTCCAGCTGGAACAAAGAGCTGCAGTTTGTAACAGCCCAGATTGATGCAATTTCACAGCAATAGCTGCAAAATGCAGCATTTCAGGGAAGAGCACCCCCCTTGCATATGCAATGACATGAAAATGTTTCCAAATAGTGAAGGTTTGCTTTTTCACATCTTCTTCTCCCTCTCTTTTTAAAAACAGCACAGAACCTCAGATAGGATAATAAACAAAAAAATTGAAACACTGCTGCTATTCTCATGCAACTGTCACAAAAAAGGGGGAAAAAAACCCAAAACGCAGAAGGAAAATATGCAGTGCAACAAGGGTTTCTAAAGTGTGTCTGGAAAACAATTTGATTCTGTTCCTACAATAAAGTTGAATGTTTTGGATGCAATCACTGCAAATTACACAGCCTTGGCAAGCTCCTGCCTCCGAACATATGGAAATTTGGTCTGTCAAACTTTGCTTCCTTCACTTACTGCCTGCTAATGCACTTCTAGAACTGCCTCAGCAGCCTGGAGGATTTCATTGCACACTGCCATCCAAAGCTTACAAACTCTGTCTTTGGGGGGCTCGTGTGTTTGGTACAAAGTCCTGCCAGGCTGTACCACGTTGAGCATGTTGGGTGAAAACCCAACCTGTGCCTTCCAGCTCCCCAGGTCCTCACCCTAAGACAGTGAGCTCAAAAAAAAAACCCTAGAGAACAGGAAAGTTTCAGGTATGGCCAAAAGAAACCCTGTTCTATGCACAGGGGAGAATAAAGCAGCCTCATGGCACAGAAACAACCTGAAAAGATCCCAAATGAGCTTTCTTGGCCACTTACTCATCTGTGCAACAAAAAATGATGGGGCTGAAGCATCAGCCTGGTGATCTGCTGCAGACTCAGGACTGGCACACTGACAGCTTCAGCACGTGGTGGAAGACTGAGCTCAGATTAAAAGAGGGATGTAAGTTGAAGGATGGGCTGAAATCCCAAGGAGATGGAGCAAATTGAGCTAGAGCTGATTTGGAATAATAAGCAAAACACCAAAATGTCAGCCCTAGCTCCTCTTCTCATTGCTAACGTCTTGTTTGTGGAATTTGCCACAAAGAACCACAAAAATTTCCTCTTCAAAAGGCTTTTTAGAACTCAAAGAGCTGCCTGAATACAGGCATTGTGAGCAACCCTACAAGCAGTGGCTGAGCTGGTGGCCTCATCACTGCACTGGGCTCCTTCCCCACTGGCACACTGCAGAATGCAAGGGGGAACTGCAATCCCTGGCCTTGACTGAAAAATAAGACAAAACAGTCGTAGTCCATAAAATTTCTTATTTTTAATTACATATCAAATTATTAAGCTCAAGGAGACCAGCTGAGAGCTGGAAGTATCCATCCTGGAGAAGGGGATGAGCTTATTGCAGCCTTTCAGTGCCCAAAGATGCTCCAAGAGAGCAGGAGAGGGACTTTGGACAAGGGCCTGAAGGGACAGGACAGAAGGCAGTGTTGGATGAGCTATTAGGAAGGAATTGCTCCCTGTGAGGGTGGGCAGGCCCTGGCAGAGGTTCCTAGAGAAGCTGTGGCTGCTCCTGCATCCCTAGAAGTGCCCAAGGCCAGGTTGGACCGGACTTGGAGCACCCTGGGACAGTGGAAAGTGGCACTGGATGAACTTAAAGGTCCTTTTCAACCCAAACCATTCTGAAATTCTGTTTTTCACAGGGACACGGATGGAGTTCCCCACACAGACACCCCAAGGATGGGAAGCCCTGAGGGCCTCATTGTGCTCCTACCTCTGAGGTCCTGCTGTGCCCGGGCGCTGGCCACGCTCTGGCGCGGCATCCGCAGCGACGTGCGCAGGGGAGTGTGCCTCTGCTCGTCCAGGTAAGCCAGATCCTCCAGGTGGGCTGAGCTGGTGGCTGCCACGAGAAAGCAAAGGAGGACATCACGCCTGGCCCTTGGATCTCATGCTCTGGTTACTGCATTTGTTCCGTTTTTAATAAAAATACGTGGAGATGTAAGAACTGTGAGACAACAGAGCTGATGTGAACCGAGTATCATTTCCCCTAGGAAGAAGTAAAGTGTTTTGGTGACTTTTTCTCATGCTTCATGTTCTCATTCGTGCTTTTTCTCATGCGTCCTGTTGGTGCTCCCAAATAAAAAAAAGACACCTTCCACTATTCCAGGGAGCTCCAAGCCCTCTGCAACCCAGCCCTGGACTCTTCCAGGGATCCAGAGGCAGCCACAGCTGCTCTGGGCACCCTGTGCCAAGGCCTGACTCCCCTCACAGGGAAGAATGTGTTGTAAGAACTGCACCCAGTTGTAAACTGCTCAGTGTCACAATACATTCAGTGAGTGTACTTTGTAGACTGCTATAAAAATGGGTATTTTTGTGCTGTTTTGGAAGATTTTTGGGCAGAATGTTAAAAAAAAAAAAAAACACGACTAAAAAAGAAAAAAAAGAGGGAAAAAAAGGTGTAAGTGCTGCTATGCTTTGCTTCCAAAAAACAGAACGTATACAAACTCAATTGTATTTGAAAAAAAAAAGAGAAGAAGAACCTGTTTTAGCAAAGCTGTGAATTCATGATTACCTTAAAATGTGGAATATCATGGAATACCGCAAAGAAAGGCACGTTTTGCCCGATTCCAAGCTACACTGTCTCCACACTGATGACCTTGAGGCTCAAAATTATTATATCTATTTCCTGGTGGGTTAATTTTCAGTTGGATTAGTCAACTAATCTGGTTTATCAAGTGGTTACCCAACGTGTGTCACTGCAGCAAGGACATTGGCAGCTCAGCATTAACTCTTTGAGCAATGTCACATTTGCAGACAGACTTAAATCAACTCTGAAACTACACTTGGTTTCCCTTTCTCATCACTCAGGCACAAAGATAATGAGGTTAAGATAATGAGGTTAAACTCTTTGGTGAAAACCACCCATATAAATCCACTACCTAAACCCCATAATTTTCTGGTGCCATGAGCATATAGGAGCTATTATGTGATCATTTGATGATAAAATGTTAAGCCAAATATTGAATTCTCATCATATTTACTTTCATGATTTAAGCTGGGATATGAACTGTGTTAGCTGACACAGTAACTTCAAGGCAGCAAAATCTCTACCAAAAAATAAACATCAAGAAGGAAAAGTTGTTCCTGAACTTTACTGGATAGTTTCCTCTTGAAACAGGATTTGCCTTTAAGTGCACCAAGCAAGTCAACAACTTCCAAAACAATTAAATGAACACAAATGTATTTAAATTTATGGTGCTCAGCCTACTCTGTTTGCTTTGGAAGATGTTTACACCGTGTCATTTATAAGGAATTCATCTAAAGCAAGCAGGCTATGGAAGCAGAGTTTTTGAGTTTTTCTATCCCCTCCCTTTAGTCTGAAATCTCAGATTTTCAGTCTGTGCTGCACCTCCATGCTCTGGGTTTATATTTCACCATCTATAAATCTAATTTCTGCATTGCTTTTAGGTCTGTGACCAGCCAAAGCTGGATTAAAAAGGAAAGCTAATCCAGTTATGCAATGCAGCCTGGTTCACCAAGGGATGCTGATTTAACAGACAATATCCCAGGCTCTTTGGGGCATCTCTCAGAATTGTCTCTGGGTTTTCTGGACTCAGAATCCAAAGTGTGGATTTCTCCACATGTCTACACAGACAACACATTTTATTCCTGAGAAATTACCCAGCAAGAAAAAAATATGGGGCAATAAAGGAACAGGGAGTGATTCCAGACAAGCAGCTTTGCAGCAAAGCTTTAATATTTCTAATCTCATCTCTTTTTTCTGCCCTGCTGTTACCAGCTTCAGGGGAACATTCAGCAGGCTGGTAAAAGACATCAATAAAGTATGGCACAACATCATTTAGAAATGTTTCAAAGAACAAACATGAATTTAAATGAAATTAATGTTGATTTTATGCCAAAAGATATCAGTCACTAGCAAACATCAAGTGCTGTGAGGTGTGAGATGTTTGGGGCACAGTCCAATGGGAGCACTGGGACCCAGAGCAGATTTTCTGTAGACAGAAAGTACCACCATTCTCTTAACTCCAGAGCTCTTAAGCTCTTCAGAGAACATGAAACAGGTTATTTTACTTGCAATGAACCCTTTGAAATAGTAGAAATGGCTATGATGTCATGGCACCTTCAACCCAAGACATTTGCATTGTAATGACAGTAAAAAATCTGGCTTTTTCTTTTTAAACATATTCTCCTGTAAACTTGTTGTAAAATTTTGCAAGAAAGGGATAATAAAGAGCTGAAATAACCATTAAACACTACCAGAAACAGTTTTTCACAGAGGAATTTTTCATTTAGAACCAATAAATCAAACAAAAACCTCACTTTTGTCATTCTTAAGTACGATGACTCCAGGAAGGAGATTTCTTTTTGGATAAGGGAACACAAGAAGGGCTGTGCCATCTGTGTGCTGTGTCTGGCTCTGACCCAAAGGCACAAACATGAATTTCTTACCTGCTACTGAATTTGGCCGTGGCATAAGGTACAGAGGAATTGACTGCACTGACTGGGACAGGACGGTCTCCAGGTTCCTCTCGGGGATTTTGTTGAGGCTGTAGGTGGAGGCTGACATGTTCTCATCCACACGGTACAGGCAGGAGTCCATGCTGGATTTCTGGGATTGCCACTGCTTCAGGTTTCCCCCAGATCCAAGCTCCTTACTGCTTTCCCCTCCGTATTTAGTGCGTTCCACATTCTCAGAGTAACTTGTCAACGTAGCTTGAAGGAAGAAGTGATAAACAAAATAAGTAACAAAGAAAGAATGGTTTGAACGCACGCTGCTCAATGCTGAGCTGAGCCATGCAAGAGCCAAAAATGATCTTCATCAAATTTTCCATATCCACATAAATCAGAGATTATGGATTTTACTTTAATGATACTGTTTCTGCTTACGACTTCTAAAAGAACATTTAAGCTCTAATGTTTTGGCTCATACTGTTAAAAGCCATTTGTAATTACAAAGAGTATTAAAAATTCTGCGCTGCATTGTATTCAAATACGCCATTCCAGAAAGAACAGAAATTATTCAGGAGGAAACATTACCATGGCTCCTCATGTCTTTTAATTAGCATCATAGTTTCTACGTTTCCTTTTCCAGGGAATATTTACAGAAGTTTGCAAGGTCTGACACTGAGAAGCCTCCACTGACCTGCCTGAACAACCAACTCCCATGGATTACTTTGGCTCACTATCTTTGCATCCCATCAAATGTTCCAAAATTTATTTGCTTGCAACATATTTTGAAATTTAAAAAAACACATGAAACTGCTAAGAACTGGTATTCATTTGTTGGTATTTATACATAAGACTTGCTGTCAGGTAAACATATTTATGATTTAGGATAAGAAAATCAGATAAAAACAGAAAACAGCTATTCACACATTTCTCTTGCTCCCTCAAACTGTCTGAGAAATATCTTTGAAATGATTCTCTATAAAAAAACTCCATTTCAAAGACTGGGTTTACAGGGCAAGGCATGCCATGTTTTCTATTCACAGCAAAAAATCCCCATTGATCCATTAGGATCCATTAGAATCTGTTAATTTAAAAAATCTATCTCAGTATGTGTCTAATTAGTCTTTCTGGAAACAAATCAGCAGCTGACATCAGTCATCTTCCAACAGATCAAACTGAGGAAAAACAAAATAACCATGTGTCAAAATAAGTTTACTTTAAGTGAAACGACAAAAAAGAAAAAAGACGTATTAAGTCCTGGTGCCCCTTTTTCTAATCAACAATTTGTGTTCATTCTAAACATAATTTTCTCTAGTTTACACTAAAGCTGTTTTATGTGCAAACTCATCATTGAAGCAGATATTTAGGACTGTTCCCTGTGGATTAATTTACCTGCTGAACAGCCCTGGATGATCTAAGTGCTGCTACACATGCTGAAGTGATGGCTCTATGGATTTAATCTCTTCTAGGAGCTATTTCAAACCAAAATAATTTTAACTTCAGTTAAAAAGCAAAAGCATCAGGTTAGCTGTGAGTCAGCAGCATGAACTGACACGCTGAGCACATCTCCCATGGTGTGACCCCCAGAGCTGCTCAGACACTGCACTTTCACAGTGACAACTGGAAAATGCATATTTCAGAGAGATAATTTCAGAAAATTTACTTTACCTGCAGCTACTAAGATGTGGAGTGATATTCAGAAAAGTTGCAAATGACAGATTGGCAGATAAATACAGTGAAAGTACAAAGATTTGGGGCAGGGAGTTGGATCAGGTGGTCACTGTAGGTCACTTCATACTGAAATATTCTATTCTATTCTACTCTATTCTGTTCTGTTCCGTTCCATTCCATCCCATTCCCTTCTTTTCCATTCCATTCCATTCTGACAGCATGAGAGGAAACAGCCTCAAGTTGCACCAAGGAAGGTGAAGGTTGGACATTAGGGAAAATTTCTCCACTGAAAGGAACAGGCCATCCAGGCCAGTGATGGAATGACCATCCCTGGAAACATTCAAAAAACATGTGGATACCTGGGGACAGTGCAAGGGGACTGGAATTAGCTGGTCCTTAAAGGTCCCTTCCAACACAAACCACTCTGTAATTCTGTGATTTTTAAACACAAGGACAGCTCATTAATCAAAAGCTTAAAAAAAAATGCAACCTTTGAACTGACAGCGTGCTCCAAACTGGGAAGAGATCAACTGATAAACTCAAATCTATCAAAGAGCAGGAATTTTTGCCCTAAGCCATCTGCAGAGAGGCAGATCCTTCAACCCCAGTCTCCAAGGGACAGGTGGGACACGCTGGGGGTGCCACAGGGGCACCAGAGGCTATGGAAGAACACTTGAGGCTCTTCAATTGCTAAATCCTGACAAAACAGCACAACTCTGGTGAAAAAAAAATCAGAACTTTGCCATGCCTGGGCCCTGCTCCATCGGATCATGCTGACCACAGCGAGTGCTGGCGAGCTGGGAGCAAGCAAGGCACTGCAAGGATGGAGAAGGATGGGGCAGAGTGTGAGTCACACACAGCACAACAGAAACCTGACATGCACAAACAGCTGAGGTTCTCTATAGCACCCAAAAAATACCACAGGGACAGAAATATAGACGTGTGTGCATATAGATCTGTGTATTTATAGATACATGGCTGTGTCTCCAGTCTCCACTGGTGCAGTCTCACGCTATTTAATGTGAGCACAGACAGAATTTGAGGCATCCAGATCATCTGACTGCTGGAGAACACACAATGAATGATATCCCATGGAAAGCCCCTTGGGTGAGTGCGCAGGCAGTGTGGTGCCTGCCTGCAATCCTGCCTGCAGCTTTTTCCTGGGATTTGCTGGATCTCTGTCCCCATGACCCCAACCCACCCACAGCACCAGCACCACCTGCACCAGCCTCACGCAGCTTTGCAGGCACATGGACTGTGGTGCCAGGAGGGAATACACTCCCCAAGTGCTGGAGTCACTTCACAATCCCACCCTGCTTTGAGCACTCAAGATTTACTCCTGTGTTTCCTTTGTCAAATTTTCCTCTCCCGACATGGCTTGTTTCCCTTGGAAACAAAAATTCTGATTAAAACTTTTTGCAAAAGACATGGGTGAAATATTTTAATTTCTTTGGGGAAATAACAGAGCTGTACTGAAGCAGCAGCAGCCCCCTCAAGACAGCACCTCAGCACTACACGTCTCAAGACAGTTTTGTGCATTTACAGGCCACAAATATTATTTCTCATTTAGTTGCAAGCTGGCCTATGCCCTGGGAGGCTTTCAACTGAATGTGTCTCTAGTCAAACACACAAGGGAATTTTTGCCATCCCATCCAATTTTCCTCGAGGCAAAGACCATGCCTGGAAAACATCAACCTTTACATTCACCTTCCAGCTGTAACTGTGGGAGAAGCAGTTTCTGTAGGTCCCACGTGACAATGACCAACAGCTGTATCATTAATTATATGTAAAGATTTATAGTGCCTCAAGTAAAAACAGGGAGTCTGTTGATTTAAAGAAATAACTGCAGCAAAGCAATGAGCTTTCACATGCTGCACTGCAACGAGCTCCAAACCCAGCCTGAATTAACCTCATTTCACTTCAGCACCTCTTGCCTCATTCCATTAGAGATGTCCCAGCTAACACGTACAAGTTGGCAAGGAGTGAAATAAATTTTTTACCCTAATCTACATAAGCCTCCATAAACTCAGCCACAGAAGGATACACCTAAATATAGCCACATCACCCCAGACCACTCCAGCTGCCAAAGAGAAAAACTTGGCAGGCACAAAGTGGAAGTCCAAACCATTCCCAAGGGCAGGCAGCAGCCTCGTGCAGTCACACACTGTCTGTGCAACCTTGGTGCACCTTTACAACATTATCCTCTGCTGGACACCACCAGGCAGTGAGTTTATGGCATTTCCACACCAAAAAAAAACCAATCCCCAAACCCCAAGGTGTGTCCTGCTCAAGGCTTGAGGCCAAAATCCACAGCACTTGCTGGATGTTTAACTTCTCTATCAAGAGTGGTCTCAAACAGGAGAAAAAGAAAATTAAGATCACTGGCTTAATTCACATAAACAATCCCACAAACAGACAGACATTAAACACGTAAAGCCACTTCTGTGTCAGGCCTGGGGGTGTTATAAATCATGGTGAGCATGCAAAAGGTCTTGAAATGAAATGAAAAATACCTCGACGGTAGCATCACCTGACCCCAAACCCATTCTGTGCTAGGTCTGAACTCCCTGCTGCACCAGCTGACACGCAGGATGAGGAATGGGATAAAGAATGGGATGACAAATGGGATGGCTGCCTTGCAGGGCTCTGTCCTGGCTGCTTCTCAGGCTAGAAATGCAAGGTTTGGGTAAAACAGAACAAGACCCTCCCAACCGCCTGGGCCCAGCTCGCAGCAAACACTGAGACAGAACAGCTCAGCAAAGCTTCTGTTTAGAAACTGCAGTTTATTACTTGCAGAAACGAGGTAATTAATATCATAAAGCACACTCCACTATTGTAAACATGGAAGAAATCTGTTAAAAAGGTCCCAACTCTACAGAGGTAGCAGCCTTAATGATCATTCCCCAACTCTCTTTGGGGAATGAGCCCAACTAGAAGCCACAGATATTCAAAAAGAGATCTGTAATTCTCAGAAATGTTATTCATTATTAACAGAGCATTTCATAATACTGATGAGAATGTCAGAATTCAAATGCTTTAACTGTAAGATCACAAAAATATTTAACCTGAGTTAAATTTATCTTGATGTGCCTTTTGAGCTTTGTTCCCTTCTCAAAGCAGATGAAGTTGGAAACAAATCCATCTTGTTTCATTGTCAGCAGCATCTATTCTGCATAGCAGCATCTATTTTGCTTAGCAGGCACTTAGACAAATTTATTAACAAACTTATTTTTAACCCAGAAACACATACATCTGTAGAAGGCAGCATCTTGATGAAAGCTTAGGAATAAAAGGAAAAAAAAATAGCAAAAAAAAGAGTAACTGGAAGAAGCTACAGGCCAGGGAATCCAAGGAGGGAATGGGGTGTTATTTTCCATCAAATAAATTCACAAAATCTGAGGGAACACATCTCATCCATACAGTACCAGACCTGTGCACTTTCCCACAGCAGCAGGGCCATAGGATTTCCACTGCTCACTGCTTTTCCTTTGAAGCTGTTTCCCCTCATACCTGTGTCCCTGCACAGCATGATCCCCCGGCACTTCAGCAGGGAACAGAGTGCAGATCACCACAGGGAAAAGGAGTGGTCCCATTTCAACCTGAACACACTCCTACAGGGAGATGCCACATGGAAAACAGCCATTCCCCAGGAGATTGCTGCTAATGATATAAAGTGCTGCTTGGGCATCACTGGGATAAGCTGGCAAGAAAAGTTTGCTGTTTATTTCAAAGGATTCCTAAGACTGGTGGAAATTTTCCTGCGTTCTGCTGCGTGCCAGCAGCAAAGTTTCCAAGCTCACACTGGAGGGGCCGTGAGGTGCAAAGTTCCCTCAGAGCAGCACATGATTCTTTGACCAGTTTTCTTTTCAGTAGCAGATTTCTGAACATTAACAGTTGGCTGCTTTTACATAGTGAGAGCCAAAAAATCCTGGAAGCTATTCAGAGGTTACAGTCAGGTCAGGATTTTCACCAGCCATTCTGTTTTATATGGAAAGAATTCCATGGCATCCAGGAGAAAGGGCTGACTTGCTCCCACCTCTGCTCTTGTCTTACCTTCTCCCCCATTCCCCATGGCTTTTCTTTTACAAATATCTGAATTTGAAGATCTGGACCTTGTAATTTTTAATTTTTTTTTTTTTAATCCTTTCAACCTTTTCTCAGCTTTTAGAGCCAAGTGACAGCTTGGGCAGAGGCAGGAGCCAGCAGGGATCAAACACCCACTTGTACTCGGTGTGACCCCCCAGCCCAGCCCGGCGTTGGGGCTGGATGTGGGAGAAGGTGCAGCTCTGATGGTGGGATATGTGAGCAGGGAAGTGAGGGGGTGGGATCCTGCAGTGACTTTGCCAGGATTCATTAACCTACTTCGGCACACAGCTCAGAATAGCTCACCCATTTGCATTTTAAGATCACGCAGGCAGAAGTGCTGCAAGGGTTGCTGTGGCATCCAGGAGCTGAACTAAGCCCAGATTCCCTGATCAGCCAAGCAAAATGTTAACCACTAGTGCAACTAACCTCCCTAAATTACCAACCTGCCTTTCTTTCTTTTCTTTTTTAACCCTACATAAATTGTTAGCAAAATAAAATCTTCTTAAGCTGGGGAAAAACTCAATCTAGAACATGTGGCAAAGATACCCAAGTGACAATCATCCTGTTTGATATCATATAAACATTAATGTTTTCCCATTGTGCCTGTACAGTTACTGAACAAAATTAATCTGTGTATATTTTCTCCAGATCCTTTACACCTGCAACCCACAGATCACTGAAATGAAAAACCTGCTACAGCACTTACAGAAATTCACTGAAATTTGTAATAATTTAGTTCAGCTCCTGCCCAAGACTTCCTCTTCCACCATTTAAACAATTTCCAAAAGCTAATTAATTGATGCAAAGTTATCAACCTCATACATCCCAATTTTCACCAACTACTGTGCAGTTCTGCCCATGAGAAATGGAAGATGGAGGGGTACAGATCACCTTGGTGACTGCAGTATAAACCTGAATAATGCAAAACCATTCCCCTAATTAGCAAACACAGATAAATAATATTATATAAATAGAGCACTGCATCCAGCTCTGGGGTCCCCAAGGGACATGAAACAGGGTGAGTCCAGAGCATCAGTGAGTTGATGACCTGCCTGGAATCCCTCTGCTCTGGAGCCGGGCTGGGAGAGCAGGGGTGGAGAAGAGAAGGCTCCAGGGAGACCTTAGAGCCCCTTCTGTGTCTAAAGGGGTCCAAGAGAGATGGAAAGGGACTTGGGACAAGGGCCTGGAGAGAGAGGACAAGGGGGAATGGCTTCCCACTGCCAGAGGGCAGGCATGAATGGGATATTGGGAATTAGGAACTGTTCCCTGTGAGGGTGGGCAGGCCTGGCACAGGTGCCCAGAGCAGCTGTGGTTGCCCCTGCATCCCCGGCAGTGCCCAAGGCCAGGCTGGGCAGGGCTTCACCTGGGACAGTGCAAGGTGTCCCTGCCCATGGCAGGGGGTGGAACTGGATGATCTTTATGATTCCTTCCAACCCAAACCATCCTGGCATTCTCTGACTACACACCAAGCCTTGTCAGACCAGCCAGCAGCAGCGAGGAGTATTGCAGTGACCTTAGACGGTCACTGCGGTGAGAGAAGGACGAGAATCTTGTTTCTTGATCAGAAGGCTTGATTTATTCATATATCATATATAATACATTATAACTATACTAAAAAGAATAAGAAGAGAAGTTGCAGAGAGCTGCTAAGCTAAGAATAGAATAGAAAGAATGAATAACAAAGTTCTGTGTCCAGGGAATCTGTCCCTGTCCCATGGTACACATGGAAGATGAGCCAATCACAGGGACACCTGCTACATTTCACAGCAGCTGATAACAATTGTTTACATTCTTCTTCTGGGGCTCTGCTTCCCAGAAGATGGACAAATGTGAAAGAAAGGATTTCTATGAAAAAATGTCTGCGACAGAGGAGGAAGAGCGTGGTCCAACACTCACCGATGATGCCGCTGTCCCTGCTCTCCAGCGTGGACGTGGGGCTGGTGACAGCGCCGTAGGTGCAGTCCTTGGCTGTGACGGTGGCGCTGACGGGTGGCAGCGTGGAGCAGGGGCTGCTGGCGGGCGGCGAGGCCGTGCTGCTCGTCAGGGTGGAGCAGGGGCTGATGCGCTGCGTCACCGCCGAGCTCTGCAAAAACGGGGGAGAGCAGGAGCACATCACTCACCACAGGCACTGCCAGGGGGAAAGGCTTTCTGCAGCTCACACTTGAGGATTTGCTCTGTCTGGTCAGGTTAAAAAGTGCCGTAGAGTTTGGAATGAAAACATCCGCTAGGCCGCCCCCCACCTGTGGCAGACACTGGGCTCGTTTTCTCCTTCACGCTCCAGAGATCCCAGCCTCCGTGCTCAATAGGAGCCACGGGAAACATAAATAGCAGTATTTATCAAAAGCCTGATTCCCTACTCCATCAGGAGTTTTGGTTGTTTTGTTAGCACTGAACTGAAAGCTTAAAAGAAAAAAGCACAAACAAGCAAAAACCATGACAGAAAGGTAAATTTGGTGCTTCGGTTGAAGTGGAGAGCTCTGGAGAGGGAAACACAGTGTGATCTCACCTTTACTTACAGTTACAGTCACCATATCCAGGAAATCCCACAAAGACCTCTGGGCCACTTCCATCTGCTCAGAACCCTTGTGGGGCTGCAGTTTTTATTTTGTTCTATAAATGCTTCCTCCATTCCATGAAAACAACAGAGATCCTTCATCTAGATACCAGATGGCCCTTCCCTGCCCAGGCGTGCTTTCCCCACCAGATAAAATTTAAACAAACCCTCAATAATATGGAAAATATGGCACAGAAAGCATCATACCTGCAAACTGCATAGCAGGCTTGACCTCTAATTTTTTTTCCTCCTCCTTATTCCATATTTGAAACTTTAAATATTATAAATATTATTATGATAAATTCTTTATGGTGGAGTTTTTCTATGTCTTTAACTGTCATTTTAAACAAATCCCCACTGAAACTTATCTCAGTACAAAATAACATCCACTAACTTTAAAACATAGGAATCACTGCACTTTAAAGTAAATTAAAATTCAGTGCAAGGATGGTACACTTATCTTCCCTGCAGCTTATAAAACTATTGTTTCATGAAATGCCAGAAGTGATAAAAGTTCCTTTATTTGCTGTGTTATCAATGCAGCTCCTGAAGAACAAGCTCCTTGCCACTGGAAATTATGAAATAACACAGTATATCACTTGGCATTGATTGACATGTTTTATTTTTGTATTGATATAGAAAAATGTTCCTCTGTGTGAGTTTTAAATATAAATTTCCATTGACAGAACATTCTGTATTATTATTGCTGCTGTTTCATCTGTCACATTTTCACTGAACTTTGAAAAATTACTCTGTTCTGCCAGCACCTCAGTGTCCTTTGTGCTGCTCTGGCAGACAACACAGTTAGAAAGAATTTCCCAAAAAGTAGGAGAAAAAGGATTTAATCCTCAGCACTTGGGATCTCCCATTAAGGAAATCACGATTAAGAGCACAGAAAGAATATATCCTTGGATATATTCAAAATAAGGCAACTGGGGGAAAAGGCATTGTAGAGATGTACAGACTGGGCAGTTTCAGTACAAATACTCCCATTCCTTATCTTCCTTTCAGCTTAAGCTCTGGTGAGATGGCAAATAATTATTGTCTCGCCTGAGAAGGCAAAGCATGGCTGGAATAACAAGCAGCAGCTTTTGATACAAAGAACGTTTTCTTTGCTGAGCTCATGTAAATTAACACATTAAAACCCAACAAATTGTTCTGATTTTTAGATTCAAGCGCAAACTACCGGTGAAAGTCTCAATCAGATTTTAATCAATCAGTGGCTAACAGAAGAATTAATTTAATTAATGCAAATCCCATAAAATAAAATCTCACTGCGTGATTTTCAACATGATTGGAAGTAAGGTAGTGGAAGAAATTCAGTGTGGGATGGAGATTTGGAGAGGTTTTACCAAATTTGGTGCAATTCAGCAGCAGCTTTAGCTTGGACAGGGTTTGTTTGCTGAGACAGCCAGTGGGAGATGGCAGAGCCAGAGGAAAGCCCCAAAAGTGTGAGATGGCTGGGGCTGAGGTGCAGGGGCTGATGGAGAAGGTTCAGAAAGGACAAAGGGACGCGGGATCCAAGGACAGACAGCTGCACCCTTCCACCACCTGCAGGGCCTGGAGAGAAGACACAACCACGCTGCTCTCAGCACTGGGAAGGGAAAGGCCAAGGAGCAGCAGTCGCAGCTTCCATCCAGGACATTTTCTACCAGACAGAAGATTCTTCACACCTAAAGTCAGTAAATGAGCCTTGCTTGGTCTTATCCTATGCAAGCTGTTCCAGCTCCAGAGCTCAGTCCCCAAGGGCACTGGGTGCCAGAAGCCAGCTCGCTCTCAGACCAAGGCCGCGGGTCAGCCCCTAGCAAGCAGGGAATATTCAGCTCTTAGTGATCAGGCAGCTCTTGTGATTTCAGCTTTGCTTGCTAGGTAGCTTTCCCTTGGCCTAAGGCTCCAGCAGACGGTAGAGAGAGGAGAAGCAGAAGACACTGGCTGTTTTACGAGTATGGCTTAATGTGGGGGCCTGAATATATGTTGTATTGTGAGATCAGTGTGTGTCTAAGTTACTCCAAACGAGCTGCAGCTGCAGGGTCCTTAGTTGGGCAACAGCTGTGGCTCGTGAGGGTAACTTAGACACACACTGATCTCACAATACAACATATATTCAGGCCCCCACAGCTTTATTGTAGGGGTCCCTGAAGGGTCTCAGCTCTTCTTCTTCCCAGTTAGTAAGGGTACAGTGTGCTACTTTTATACCCTTGGCCTGGATCCAATCCTGACCAATGGCAAAGGTGTTAGAGTGACCATAAGTGACCAATGGTAGGGTTTAACACAATATTGCCTTCCATGGCTATAGGGATAAGGTACAAGGCGGATGTCCCTGGAGACAGGAAACTTCTTTGCTGCTGTGTCAGCATTCTATTCTCCAAGGGGCCCTGGCTAAACCTGAGGGGTTTACTACAAGTCAGTGAGCTCCAAAAGGGGCTGTCAGGAGAGCCCACTGATCTCCATCAGTGGAGGTTTTCAAACCCTGCTTGGACGAGCCCTGAGAGCCACAGTCCCTCCCTGAATCCAGCCCTGCTTCTGGCGTGCATGGATGGGCTGACCCCACCAGGGCAACTCCAACCTTGGGTATTCCAGGATTCAAGGCAAGGGCTGACATCAGGAGACACTTACAAAGGAAGGGAAATATTAACTTGGTAATTGAGGAACCAGCCTCTCTTTATCTTCTCCTGAACATGAACAGCATTCAAAGGCCCTGGAAAAACTTTTTCATGCAAAAATTAGCACACAGCCCAAGATACCAATCTAGTTTAGAGGACAAGTCTGCTATTTCTCTTTAGATTTTTTCTTTTATTTATTCTCCAAAGACATCTTTGGCTTTAGAAAAAAAAGATTGGATTTTAATTTCTGTCAAAAGGTAACAACAAAAGAAACCATTTATAGTAGAAAGCTCTGCTTGGCTTTGAAGTATTCAGTTGAAATAGGCGCCTGCTAAAAGGACATTTTCTAGCCCAATGCATAGAACAGTCCATTTTAAATCCACATCTTGCTTTAAGAAATTGAATGGGAAGTCTTAAAAGTGTAACATATGTGTTAAAGGCAAAAACTTTACGAAATCCCATTTCTTGGCTCTCAATCAAACTAGCTCATGCAGGAGATCAAAAATATCTTGTGTCAGTCAGTCAAGCCAACCTGGCCCTGGGGCACTGCCAGGGATCCAGGGGCAGCCACAGCTTCTCTGGGCACCCAGTGCCAGGGCTGCCCACTCTCATACAGAGGAATTCCTTTTCAATATCCCATCTAACCCTGCCCTCTGGAGCCATTCATGTCCCTCCAGGCTGTTGTCCAGCTCTCCTGAAGCCCCTTTAGGCACTGGAGGGGGCTCCAAAGTCTCCCTGGGGCCTTTTGTTCTCCAGTCTGAGCATTCCCAGCCCTCCCAGCCTGGCTCCAGAGCAGAGAGGCTCCAGCACTTGGACCAACTCCGTGCCTCCAACAGGTTTGCATCTGCGCTGTGCTGACGACAGGCCACTTCTCACTGACTCTCTTTTTAAGGAATTCAGCTTCTCTGGATTACATTTATGTTAAACATCTGAGTGACTCATGCAGAGTCACCCAACGGCAATTAAAAGAACAGAGAATTGGAAGTGGTTGATGAGTTTTGTGCTCTTCTGTTACATACTGGATTAGCCATCTGTCAATTCAAATGCAAGAAGGGGTGGGGGAGGAAAGGCCTCCTATTTTCACTCTCAGCAAAACTGCTAATTGTTGGTACCTGAGGAAAAGGAGGGAGAAACTCAGGCTCAGGCAGTTTCTACAAAACCTGTATCACAGCCCAAAGCTTTCCAGCCAGCCAGGGGTATAACAAGCTCTGTCACAATAAAGATTTTATGATTTGCCTTCTTTATCTGTTTTCAAGCATGAAATCACCTTGTTGGGCAAATATGAGCAAGAACCATGACTATCTGTAAAATCAGGCTATTACTATTTCCCTCTCCCTTCTGCAGAGACTGAGTCTTTATGTAACACTACTGAAGTGCTTCTGAAATATCACCGAGAAGATGCCAGGCAAGTACAGATTATTTTGGTCACTATAATCTGATTAGAAACACTGCCCACTCCTACATTTGCAGAAACACAAAAACAACAGAAGCTGTCTCACATGGCTGATCCCTGAACCACGGCCTGCTGTTCTGCGAGGATGACTCACCGTGAGGCGAGGAGACACAACCTTTACCTCAGCACCATTATTTCACTGTTACACCTGGTTGCCATGGAATTAGGCAATAACCAGCCTCTCCCAAACGCCACAGCCATCCCAACCCATGCCATTGGGGATCATACCTGGTTCTCGTCCTGCACCTCCATGCTGTACTGGGGCCCTGGCTGAACCTCCGTGACTTTCTCTCCGAGGAGGAAGCCCAGGCGAGTCATGAGTGTGTTCGCTGCCTCATCTACGGATGGAGGGGGTCCCAGCTCTTGCTCAGTGTCACCTAAACACAAGAAAACCAGATTCAGACAGGAATTGCTCACTTTTTTGCTCAGTGGTTTTACCGACACAACACCCATATCTGCTGTGTACCCTCAGCATCCAGGTTTTCAGGTTATTCATGTTATTCCAGTCTGTTTTACCATTCCGTGCTGGTCATTAATTTTAGGTCATGTACCACAGATATAACTTTTCTCCAATGTTAACTGTTGCTTCTCCTCTCACTGCTCATTATTTTTTCAGCACCTCCCATGGAAGCACACCTAGGTTTCTTGTCCCTGCAGCAGAAGCACCAGAGCTACCAGCAAACAAGATTTTCCAGACCAGCATTGGTTTGCTCTCTTCCCTCTGTTTCTCGCAGAGAAGTTACTCACAGAGAAGACAAGAAGACATTTAGAAGGTGCTCCACGAGCTGCAGAGCAACCAACCTGTGCTGAGTAGTTAACAGGAAACATCAGGACAGAAAATACATTTGTGGAAGTGCAACTTCCACTGTCATCTTTTGTCCCCAGCACACTCATGGTCATACAGAAATCAAGTCTCTCCAAATACAACTCACTTTCTGCACTCCCCCTATGGGCCATGCCACAAATTCCCCACCAAGTCTGCAAAGCAGGCCAAAACCAACATTCCTAATGATTTTTTCTATTTTTTTCCCCACCACCTGCAGGGAAAGCAGCACAGATGAGTTTCTAGCAAGCAATGCACACTGGGAAAAGGCCTGGCGTGTATAGTGGCATTTCTGTGTCCTTTTAATTTTATAACAAAAAAGGAGGAACAAAAACCTGTGGAGGTTTTTGAGTTGTAGTATCACACATGTAATTTGGGTTCTGAAAGTCAAGTTCCTTCCTGCTCACACCAACAGCAGGGTGAAAGCCTGAAGGTCAAGTTCTTACCACTTTACACTGAAGCAATACTGTGCTTAGTGCAGTTATAGGAGACTAATTAGGATTTGCAATTAGTCTACAGTTAATTATTCATCTGATAATGTAGAATCTGGAAAAGAGCCCATCTCCATTTCCTAGCTCTGTCCTGGTTTGGGCTCCTCCAGCACTCAGCCTGCAACAGTAAAAGGATGCTACTTTAAATAAAATATTGCTTTTTGATAACTGTAACTGAAACCCACAAATCACGGAACCTGGGACATATACAAAACCTCAGGAAATTTAAGCCAGCTGCTTCCAGAAATTCACATTTAATCTCACGGAGCACAGCTCACAGAAGTTTACGGCAATTTTTGGATGTCTCATCTGCACTAGTGCAAATTAAAAACCCAGGAGCATCTCCCATGCAACCACGACTGCATTCCAGGCACCACCAGCTCTGGGAGCTGAGCATCTGGAGCTGTCCCTTCACCGTGGCTTCACTGTTATGAAAATGGATGATACAGAAAGTCCACGTAAGCTGAGTTACTGAATCCCCATTGTACTGCCTGAACCGACGCTGACGTGAATCCCAGAGATTTAAGAGAGACAAATTTAAACGGATGGCCCAATTTGAGGAACTGCTGACCACCCACAGTCAATCTGTGGGCATTCACTGGCTCTAGGAGCCCAAGCCAGAACACAGACATTTATGTAAAATGAAAACTAGAGAGACTTTTATTTCCAAAGTTATTTCTTTTTTTAAAAGATATACAACATTTTTAAAAGAAGATTTTTTGGTAAAGCCATTCCCCGGATATGGCTCCACAGCTTATTGTGCATTCATATTCTGTCTTTACTACCATGATATCAAAAATATTCCAATTACGCTGACGTACACATCTGGGGCAGAAAGGAACAGCTGGATCTACCCCTGTACTGCCCACCTGGGAGGATGCAGGAGTGCCCAGGTGAGGCACATGCAGGGCATTGGGCACTGCCAGTTTCCTTTGGCTCAGTGCTGGGAACAACTCCCAACCAAAATTTGCTCATTGGAGCTTGAGTTTAACCTTTTCCTTAACCCCCACCTCCTTTTAAACTACCCTTTAAACATCTCCAAGGAGCATGAATCTGGATTTCACCTGTAAAATACAGAAAACTACAATCTTGCCTCAAGTCATTGTACAGGTACATTGAAGATATAGAGGATAACAATAATTATGTGCTTTGATAACAGCAGAGCGTTGGAACCACAACACCTTCAAGATCCCTTCAATCCAAACATATTTGTGGTTGTAATTCACAGAATCATGGAAAGGTTTGGCATGGGAAGGACCTTAAAGCCCATTCATTCCCATCCCAGGCTGCTCCAAGCTCCATCCAACGTGTCCTCATTTCTTCCTCATATCTGATTTAACTCTGACCTCCTTCCCCTTAAGTTCTTCTGCCTTGCCTTGTCTCTCCATGCTCCTTCCCTGCGAGATGCTGGCTCATGGTACAAGGTGTCACCAGCTGAACCACAGCAGTGGAGCTGTGAGACCTCCAGATTTCATACAAAACTATCAATTATTTTATTACAACCTGGCTTTCAAAGTACAGATAACTTTGAATTTAAGCAAAGCGCCATTGTACTGGATTATCCCCGCCTGAAGTCTTAAAAAATAAGTGTAATCGTTTAACTGAATGTCAAAGAACAGACAGAACAGCTCTGAAGTGAATGGGAATTATGGAAAAAATCTGTATGTTGCCTTTCAGGGCTGACATTAAGACCTAATACTCTCTTCCTAAGTTCAGTGAAAGGGCATAACTGGTTTTTCCACCCTTCTCCTGTGTGTTATCCAGTTGGTGCTGCAACCACATTGTACTTTAACTTAAACTCAAATGAGAGTTTGTGTCTTGGCTCATTTCTACCCCTAACGAGAGGTCTGCTGCAACAAGTGGAGATACCCGAGGCTCACACCGATACCTTTTTCTCTTTATTCTGAACAATTTTAGCAGATCCCAGCAGTGAACACCCCCATACTTTCCATCTACTTCTGCCTCTTTTTTAGTTAATGACTTTTTCTTTGACTGAACTGCAAAAATGCAAATTAGAAATACAACCTGAGCTTGTCAAGCAATTTAATACCTCTGATCCTCCCTTCAAAAAATTCAACCCACTTTAAATACGTCAGCAGATCTCTGCAATTCACCCTGGAATTTACCTGATTTAGGCCGTTTAGGAGCAATTTTACAGAGCTTGGAAGCTCTCTCAGATTATCTAGAAATACCCTTTGGATTTCTGCAGGGGTCAACTCTTAACACCCCTGTAGGCATCACATGCAGCAGGATTGAGCTCATAAGTGCTCATAAGTGTTCAGAGTATTCCTTGAAAACCAAATATATCATTTTATGGCAGAGTCACTAGGTTTGCTTTTCTCAAGAAACCATAACATTCAAAATGCCCAATGTTTTTTGTACATTGTCATTTTCAAACAGTGTTTCTGTTACCTCCTTTCAATCCCTATATGAAAGCTGCCACATATTTCAGCTGCAATTGCTTACAAGCAAATGAAATTTCTTCATGATTTATTTGGTAATGCTGTGACTGGTTTGATAGCCACCCTCATCTAATTCTAGATAAATGGTGGAGGGTAGTGCCCCTGGGACACATTAACAATGCATCTGCAGTCCATAGAATATTTTTAGTTTAATTGCCATACTTTTACTTTCAAACCAGCTGAAATCTATTTCAGTGAGTGGCCAACAAGAACTGGGTAACAGTTCCCTTAGAGGCACCCATCCCCAAATTTGCCTATGAGACTGATTTGCCTTTAGGAAATCAAAAATTCTTGAATTAGCAATGAAAAAAAAAATAGCTATATGTAAAAGCAAGCACTTGTGAAAGGGCAGAAATAAATGATACCATTTAGGACCCTGATCTTCAATTACATAACTGCAGAGTTTTATCTAACAACTTCCCTACCTCCATGTGACCTGAATCTGTCCCATTATTATGTACATCTGCTTTAAATTATTCTGGATACACTTGAGCTGTATTTGGAAAATATCCTTGACCCTTTCTGCATATCCCCCTAATCTCAGAATTAATGGAAGATTTTTTCATTAGTCTTGTTTACATCAAGAGGAGATTTTAAAAAAATTTAACTACTAAGGGATGAAGGCGGCCCTATATGCATCTCTAAAAATGTCAATTTTTGTACTGCTGCACCTCCAATCCTGGGGTCAGTTTTGGGGAAGACATTGAGGGGCTGGAGCAGGGAAGGGAACAGAGCTGGGAAGGGTTTGGAGCCCCAGGAGCAGCTGAGGGAGATGGAAAGGGCTCACCCTGGAGAAAAGGAGGCTCAGGGGGGCCCTTGTGGACCAAAGAAAAAAGAATGGGGGAAATGAGAGGGCACTCATTAATGAGCATCCATCCATCTATCTATCTATCTATCTGGCCAATTACCATAAATACAAGCCTGGGCATCTGGAATATCTCCTGGAAGCAGGATTACACTTCAATCCCCAAAAATGTTCCTGAGCTCTTTAACAAATCAAGGACACCAGGACGGAAGCAGGAGGTTCCCCTCTGAGGGAAAGCAATGGCAATGGCGGGCAGGCAGCGGCAGGCACACCCCCACGGGTGGCAAACAAAATAAAATAAACAAAATAAAACCAAAATAAAAACAGACAACTCCACAGCCTTAGCAGGTGCCGGATGGACACAGGGTGCTGGGTTTGAGTGCAGTGAAAAAGCCTGAGGGAGCAGCAGCCGGGTTCCTCCGTAGCATCCGCCTCAGGCGGGGAGATGCGCCCTTCACAAAGGGGACATGGGTTTTCCTCCGAGGCATCCCAAGAGATGGTGAAGGTCCTTTCCAGTCACATCCCAGTTCAGCAGCTGCTCTGACAAGCAAAAGCTCACCCATGGGAGGAGAAGAACTGGGAGGATAAAAGCAGTGAATCCTCCTGGCAGCGAGCGCAGGCCGGCTCGGCTGCCCCTCTGTGACCGTGCTCACAGGGGCTCTTGGATGAGGGAACAGGTGAGGATCTGCCTCCATGTTTCAGAAGGCTTGATTTATTATTTTATGATATATATTACATTAAAACTAGACTAAAAGAATAGAAGAAAAGGTTTCATCAGGAGGCTAGCTAAGAATAG